AGAATCATTGAATGGTTTGGGTTGGAAGGGACCTTAAAGATCATCTGGTTCCAACCCCCCTGCCACGGGCAGGGACACCTTCCACCAGCCCAGGTTGCTCAGAGCTCCATCCAACCTGGCCTTGAGCACGGGCAGGGAGGGGCAGCCACAGCTTCTCTGGGCAACCTGTGCCAGTGCCTCACCACCCTCATGGTGAAGAATTTCTCCTAATATCTAATCTAAATCTGCCCTCCTTTAGTTTAGAGCCGTTCCCCCTTGTCGTACCACTACACACCCTTGTAAAAATTCCCTCTCCATCCTTCCTGTAGGCCCCTTCAGGTACTGGAAGGCTGCTCTAAGGTGACCCCGGAGCCTTCTCTTCTCCAGGCTGAACAGCCCCAACTCCCTCAGCCTGTCCTCATAGGAGAGGTACTTGGGTCAGCCAAGAACAGGGACACCTCTTTGGGCAGATTTCATCCTGTTTTTCCAGCTTCTGGTCATCCTTCTCTCCAGGATCCACTCGACAACTTTCTCCCTCCTTCTCATCTTCATTGTCTGGTCTCTGAATCAAAGCCTGTCCCTCATGCCATCCCGTCAGATGCTGCAATGACCTGCGTCTCAAATAAACGGGACATCTGTGGACAGAGAAAACAAGCTGAACGCTTTGCTTAGATTCATTTCTCATTTAGGGATTCACTCTCAACATATCCCAGTTCACATTATATGGGGTTTTATGCTTGGTCATTCTTTTTGAGATTGCTCCGTGCAAACACACATCTTCTTAACTGTGGCTGTCTTATTTTGTAGGAGTGCTCTTTTCTGACAAAAATACTCCACGGGTTTCCCAAGTTACTCAAAGAGAAGCAGCGAAATGTGTTCTCATAAAACAGCAACAGCAGCCACAGGCACAACATCACACCAGCACTATTCTGTGCATTTCAAGCCACCCCTGAGACCTTACGGCAGACCTTACCTTTGCGCGTTAAAGCCTCCGCACGCACAGAACGGAAGGGATCAAACAGTGGCCATTTCTTTTGAGTAACAGTGGGAGCAGGCACTCGTCGCATACTCAGAGCCATGTACGGGTACCAAAATGACATCACCACAGATGTTTCCATTTCTTGTCTTGCTTACTTTAGCTATTCATTCCTCACCTGTGGCACGTACAAAGTTTACAATGTATGGGTAACAGCAAAAGGCATCCCTGCTTGCCGTTTCTGATACAGTTCAGTGACTGGCAAGTGGGAACATGAGAGGGAAATTGGAGAAATCCCTCCCTCTCCCTTTCAGAGTATTTTTCAATCACATTTGCAGTAGATTTGAGCGGTGCAGTTTGGGGGGTTTGCCTTTAGTGTCAGTTGTTTATATTGTCTCCCTATCAGATTGTAGTCCAGCTTTGAGCTCTTGTCACTCACTTGCAGAGTTCTGAGTGGGCCTTTGAGAGGTACAAGCGGCTCCACTGCTATGTACAAATGACTTTTTCCTGGCTGGTGGTTTTCTGCAGAGAGGAATGTCACTTCCCCCACTCCGCCAGCAGCATGTATAGTACAGGAAGAAGGCAGAGGGAGAGGCTCTCTGTCATGTTTTAGAGTGTTTATTCGAGTGGGTTCCACAGTGGAATTTTGCCACGTCTTCGATCCTGGGAGTAGATGTTTCTGTGCTGCTGCTTGCTCCTCTGGAGGGAGCTTTCTCCCAGGCATTGAATTTACTTAGGAATGTGTTTCTACAAAATTTTTTTTTTTTTGGTGGTGAAAGTCGAAACCAAGAATGAATTACAGACTAAGCAAAAATTAGACATGTCAGCCTACGAACAAACAGGGTTAAAGCATAAAGCACAAAGAAACCAGGCATTTGACGAAAGTGCAGCTGAGATTTCCCTTTGTGTTTGGCACTGTCTGGGTGGACTGGAAGTGCATAATTTTGGGACAGCCGGGAAGGGAAGCTGGCGGAGTTAACAGTGCCGGGACAGTTATAGCGGCACAGCAGCAAGAGCTCATGTTAGGGTTGAAGTCTTTCTTTGATGTAGTCATCTGTCAGGTTTCTTACTGAAGTGAAAGGGTACCTTTTATTTATGCAAATAGAAGAGTGCATGTGCGTACGTGCTTTTGATTCTCGCTCATACTTTTGTACGTACACTTCCATAAGCCATTTCAGATGGGAGGTGGAACTCTGTATCACTTACACATCAGTAAGCTGGACGAGTTGATGTGGATCTTGGCTTACAATGGAAAAGGTTTTAACATTTCACAAATACTTAAGACTTTTACTTTCTTTCTCACTCTTCCTAAATATGTATGTATATATACTATATATTTATAAAAATATGTGTATATATATAAAATAAAAAAATATAAATGCATGCACACAGAAGTACATAGATATTTGGCACACGCAGCTGTAAATTACAAATTTCACAAAGTATCTCTAGCGGGGTTTAAAGTTACTTTAAAAATGAGTGCAGAGAATTGCAGAGTACGTTAGGACACAATTATTGAGCAAGTGCCTGCTCCCAACTTCGTAAGGCCAGTTATATTATTGTAATATTGTCTTCTGTGCTGCTAGGCAAATAAGCGACGTAAACACCTTGTAAACATGGTAAGTCATGACTCCTGCCCAATATCCATAGGTTAGCATCAGGAATTGCTATGAGATTAATCCCACACAGGAGCAATGGTATAATCTTGTGCCTTGTCAGCTTTAGGAACAGGGGACGGGGAAGGGAAAAAATCTATGCTATTTGCAACAAAAATTGATTTTTAAAATTAAAAAAAACAATGAAATGTTCCTAGTGATGCAGCTAGTTGTAAAACTGAAAAGAATTCTATCAGTTTTACTGTACCGTTGTGTCTGCTGAGACTGTGGTTTCGGTACAAGTAAGTTTGGAAATACAGATGCTGCAGGAAAGTTCATTGACGTAAACCAAGACACTTCGAAGTTTTTTTTTCCAATTACCCTTTTTTCCCCCCCTTTCTCTTTTTCCCATCCTTGTTTAGGCTAATAACCTTCCAAAAGCTATTGCAGCAGCTCACACGTTTCTTCTGAAGCATCCAGATGATGAAATGATGCAAAGAAATATGGCCTACTATAAGAGCATACCTGATGCTGAGGAGCATGTTAAAGACTTGGAGACAAAGCCTTATGAGGTATGCTTTTTATTCAGAGACTGGTCTTTTGGAACTGTTCTATTACTTCTCTTACTGGGTGGGATTGAAGGATCTCATTTGCTTACGTGTTTTCACTACTTACTCTGCTTTACTTCCTGCTGTCTTCCTCAGTCGTCGCTGGTCTGCCTTCTTGACACGTTCAGTAATTCTCACCTCTCATGGTTTTCACTGTTCCATAAGTCCCAGTAAATGACAGGCAGCATGCCGAAAAGCTACCACATGCAGGTAGCTAAGGCAGCTAAGCAGGCTCACAGAGTTATTCAAATGCATGAGTGCTGTAGTGGCACAGCTTCAAATAACTCGGACATTGGGTGTAAAGGCTCTACTGAAAATCTCTTTCAAAACCTGTGCTTTACAATCACGCTGTTCCCTCTGCCCAGCAGGCTTTTCTGTTGATCTGAAATGGGTTTACGTACCCTACTATCAAGTAAACATCTGGTAAAATCCATTTGTCATCTGTATTTGTTGTCCTCCTGTTAGTTGGAGAACAGCTTATATAGTAATCCAGAAATGCAGAGACATCATTTCCTGTATTTGAATTTACACATGGCTTTCCACAGATCAGTTACTGCTGGTTTTCATTCCTGCCAATTTTTCAGAATCTCTTTGTCAGGGCTGTGAGAGCATACAACGGTGACAATTGGAGAACGTCCATCTCAGACATGGAACTGGCTCTTCCTGACTTCTTCAAAGCTTATGATGACTGTACAGCTGCCTGTGAAGGCTCCCGAGAGATCAAAGATTTTAAGGACTTCTATCTCTCCATAGCAGGTAAGTGATTAGGAAACAGTAAGCAAAGATGCCCCCAAAGTGCATTTCAATTTATCTGTAGGATTGGCTACCAAAGTCCTGTTGCTCAGTTTGCAGTGTGTGAAAGGCACATGGTGCCCCCGCTCAGTTTGGGCCAATGCACTCGGATATTAGATTCGCCAGAAACTGCTTGAATTCTGGTTCATTTTTTTCTTCTTTTCAGTAACGTAAATGAGGGCTGTCAGAAAATCAGAACAGAGTTCTTACATTAACATGGAAGTTGTGTGTTAGAATAAAGTGTAATAGCAACTACTACATCCAGCTAGGAACTGTCACCCAAATGGACCTCTTGACCATCACTTCAATATCAGCTGGCCACCTTTCACACTCAGCGGTTAGCCTGCCTTCAAAATCTGCTGGTGGTTTGTGTATCACTGCTCACAGACATCTCCCTTCTCATAAACATGCCAAGTTCCTGTTGCCTATTTTTCATCTCTCCTACAGCACAGTTTTGCTAGCATATAAAATTTCCTTTTCTGTAGTGTATACCTTAGAAAAAAATTCATTGCTTTGCAAAGAGAAAGGCATACCACCTTTTTGATTTATTACTGTCAAGATGGCGTATACACATTTCCTGTGCTCTTTGGCAGTGAAAGAAATAAGTCCTTTCTACAGTGCTCTCGGCTCAGGGTTTTGGACAATGCCTGAGTGGAGAATGCCTGCGTGTTTTCTTAACAAACTGAAAAACATGAAAAATACAACAGAATTTTTAAGTTGCCAGAAGGAAAACTAGCCCAACTTTTGGTCCTAAAGCCGTAACACATG